ATTGCATTTTAAGGAATTATTACTTATTAATTATAGAACTAATACATGAAAATAACAACAAAAATACATTAGTAACTTTACATGCATTATTAGTTAATTAAATTAGTTAATTGTTAAAAAAATAGGTAAGTAGGTTTAATTTTACAAATTAGATTTGAGTTAGATTTTAATATAGAATTTTAATTAACTTGGCTAGAGTATAAAATCAAAGTAAGAAAGAAGTAGGCTTATTTGTGTCTTTAAATTTCATATGGGCAAGTTCATGGTGAGGCCCAAAAGCCACAAATCCCCGACCCGGTCTTTTAATCACTCGATCCTGTTTTAATAATCCAAAATGGTGCCATTTTGGTCACAAAGGATCATGGCCCTTCATCTCAGGATCATGGCTCTAGAGCTAAAGTTTTTGTTTGTAACTGGCGAGCTTCAACTCTAGAGCTGAAGTTTTTATTTTTGTAATTGGTGAACTTCAGCTCTAGAGCTGAAGTTTTTGTTTTGTAACTAGCGAACTTCAGCAGAGCTGAAGTTTTTATTTTGTAACTAGCTTATGGTTTCCGCTATTTCTGGAAATTTCTTGCTATCATAAGCAAATCCAATTACTGAGCAAATAGTTTCTACAGCTGAAAACACAGAGCAATTAGTTTCTTCCACCAGTGATGATGGAGTGTCAACCATCATATCAGCTCTCCTTTTCGTTGCTTTCGTTGACTTATCCATTCTCACTATAGGGGTAATTAATTATAAGTTTCTTAATTTTTCTTTAATAGCTGAAATTATGGTTGTTGTTAATTGTGGATTTTCTTTGTGTGAATACAGGTTATATACATAGCCGTAACAGATTTCTTGCAGAAAAGGGAGAAGGAGAAGTTTGAGAAAGAAGAAGCGGATATAACTTTGAGAAGGAGAAATGGGGCTGAAGTTGTTTAAAAAGTGGATACAAGTTAAAAGTTTTTAAAAAATAAGTATAGAACGACCAAATAGGGCGCCCTGTGCAATTTTTACATGAAAATAATTACCAAGCCCAACTAATTTGTCAAACGAATTCCAAACCTCTCAACAAGCTTGTGTGCTTTCGTATTTTTCTGAAATTCATAAACACTTTGTCCAACAAATGAACATCCATAATTCTGAACCTGCACAATAATCTCGAATCGATTAAAATATTCACTCATAAATATCGCAGTTTGCTTTAGACGCATTTAAATAAATCCTCGTGACCATGGGTACAGTTCCCGTGGCATGGTCACGATACGTAAACCCCAACTCAAGTGCGCGTTTCACGCGACTTGACCTCAACTACAAATAATAATAAAATCAACATGTTGTAGATCGCGAGTGCGTTACACGTGACGCTATTCGCAATATGTGCAAAAACAAACGAGTGTGCGACATCGCGACTTGTTCAAATAATTCCCATAAATACTAAAAGCGATTAAATAATCAATTAGAACGACAAAGCATAAAAAGTTTTAAACATGTAATAAATCAGATAATTATGTCAATTATTAATTGTTGAGCGGCCGTCCTAAAGCTACGGAACTCGGGAATGCCTCACACCTTCTCCCGGGTTAACATAATTCTTTACCCGGTTTTCCGGGTTCGCGGACCATAAATAGAGTCAATTTCCTCGATTTGGAATTTTAAAATAAACCGGTGACCTGGACACCATAATAAATATTCCAAGTAACAACTCTAATTAAATAATTAATCGCATTTCGATGAATGTCACTTTAATTGGAAAAACTCTCTATTCCTCGGAAAAAAGGAGATATGACAGTGAGGTAACTTTTAATTACTTTAAGATTACGTACAATGTTATAAAGAATTAAAAAAAGAAAAGGTAATTTACTCTTATAAATATCTTGATCATATCCAAAAATACTAGGCGAATGAGAGAGGTGGAGGGCCAATGAGTATTTGGATTCCGTCCAAATCAGAGGTGAAAGAGAAAGAGAAAGAGTAGTGAACAGTTAACTGAAGCTAAAGTCGTGAGGTGTGGGCCTTTTCTTCAGTGACCACCGACCGCCGCTTTAGGCCTGTCTTTTTCCCACTGAATTTGGAAGCCATATGAAAGTGACTGCCTTTGCCGTTTGGGCCCTTTGAGTTTTGGCCACGGACTGTAGAACCACCACACACTTACTTTAAAGCAGAGTTGCTTCTTTCTAGGCCTTCTCCTTTTGGAAATTGCTCTTTTGGTTTTCCCTACATTTCCTTTTTCCCTTTCATGGTCCAAATTACCTTTAAATGAAAGAAAAAAGGGAACATTTTCTTTCAAGAAAACTTTCTATTACCTCGAGGAACAAGAGAAAGGGAAAAATAGAATCAAACTCAACCTGTTACGTAGGAGACTTTCACTGTTATTACTTGACTATAAACTTGGGTGATAACAAGGAACAATAAACATGTTGCTTCTCAAAATATCGGTAGTGTGGTTTAGGGACTAGATTTTTGAACTACATGAATCAAAATCTTGCTATTGTTACAACCTCTTTTTCACGGCCGTTTCTCTAATGTATTTCTTTCAAACACTAATGTGATTGTGGTTTGCTTGGGTCGATGGTCTATCGGAAACAATCTGATCTCTAGGGTAAAGTTGCGTGCTCACTACGCGAAACTCCACTTGTAGGACTGGACTTCTTGTTGTATAAGAATCAAAGTCCAAGTGATTTTTTGACCATTATTGTTCAGTTGAGTCTTCATCTCCATTTTTTTAATTTGTGGGGGATAAAAACATCCACCTTTTGAAGGGCAAGAAGCTGATATAAGGTTTGTAGCTTTTCAACTTGACTGTATATGTCATGGTCTAATTCTTACCCACCACATGGGGTTTGATAGGCACCCAACAGCCATGCACCAACCCACTTTAAATAAAAATTACACCTATCACTAGACACTGTTACTTATTTTCTTCTTTAGTCTTTCGGGTTGAGTTCCTACTTTAGAAAATGGTTCAATATAACCGATTACTATTTGAATAAAAAGTAATCACGTAAAGATTTTAAAAATAAAGTTCTCTCATAAGATTTGTCATAAAATTTGAAAGGATTGTAATAAAAAGGGCACGCCGGTGAAGGACCGCATCAATTACCCTATATTTTTGCAAGAGGTTGTTTCATACATTTTTGTCAGAGTCTGTTTCCACGGTTCGAACCTGTGACCTCCTGGTCACATGACAATAACTTTACCAGTTACGCCAAGAATCCCCTTCAAAACTAGAAAAGATTGTAATACGCCACAAAATTAATTGACCTTGAGAAAATATTTCATTTACGAGAAAAATAAAGTATTAATTATTACACCGCTTAATCTTTTTTTAACTTGACCCCTAAACTCCACAATTCCATGATTATCAAAATCTGATCACATCATGTAGTCACTGATGTCCAGACGAAAAGTAATTTGCATGGAGTGAAGTCGTTTCTGGAAGATAGTGACTAAAGCAGAAACACTATTGCTTATAATTCCAAGTAAAAGTCACCATCTCACACATGGGTGCCAAATGACTTCTACGTAGCCTATGCAACCAAAAGTGACTACATGACATGATCATGCAAAACAAACTTCTACTATATTTTTATAAAAACACATTGGCCCAACGCCATTTAATCGTATATTGGAATAACATTGTTAATATAATCTTATCCTATCCCCGTGTTGATACAGTTACGAGCAGCTAGTTGGGATAACGTACACAAAATATTGATTTTATGAAAATATTCCATGAAAAAATACAGACCGTTATATCGCCCTAACTTATGAGCAAATTGGAACTTAACAACCTTGGCGAGTATTAAAGCTGAAATCAAGTTCAGATTTTAACAATAATATCGAACGTTGAGGATCAACAAATTATTGATAATCACTTAAAGATTGTCTTAATGAGGATTTCGGATTAACTTGCGATGTAGGTGAAAGTCTTATGCTTCCTCTCGATCTTCTTTCTTTTTTACTTTTTAATTCTCTGAAGTAAATAACATCTCTAAATTAAACTACATTGTAATTAAATGCCTAGACTAAGGTTGTAAAAACAGAAACAGCTTCTTCATGGTTCAAATACTTAAACTACATGTTATTTAAAAATTGAGGAAATTACTAACTTAATTAATTAACTAATTTCTGTGGTCACTAAGGTACCAATAAAGATTTGGTGCTTGATCAACAGAGTAAATATTACAAGAATCCTCTGTTGTAAAACCAATTTGCTCCTCCATTTTCCCAACTTGATGCTGTTGATGATAACCTCTCATTGATGATGTAGAACTTGCCCTTGGATCCAATAACTGAGTGTAAGTTGTAGAAGATAATGACAAGTGATCCAAAGCATTATAAGATGACACTTTAGGCATTAATGGCTGATAATTGAGAGTATTGTTGTAATTTTCTTCATTCATTACTCCACTTGAATCACTATCTGATGAACCATCTTTTGAATCCACAATATCTGAATTCAACTTGTTGTTGACTTCATAGTTTCTGGGATTCAATTCAAGAATTTCTTGTGGCCTTTGAAATGCAGTTGAATTTTCCTCTCCAATCTTCTCTTTTAGTCCTTTTAGCTGCAAGTTTGTAACAACCACAAAAAGAGTGAGAAACAAGCTAAAAAAGCAGAAAATTTCTTTGTAGCAGTGGCCGTGAGAGTTGAACTCAGAACCTCTGTCTAATCTGATATTACGTTAAACTATGTGACTCCTAATCTAAAAATCCAACTAGTAGGGTCTGGAAAGGGTAAAATGTACGCAGACCTAACCCCTACCCGAAGAAGTACTTAATTATATATTCAACAAAACAGGTACGGCGGCTTTACACTATTAGATCAAGAAATGTGAGAGATTTTTAATGATTTACCTCATTAATCAAGCCTTCTTTCTCTTGTTCAACTTTGGAATAATTGAGCTGAAGAGTTTCATAATTGGCCTTGAGAATATTATAATCTCTTTCTAATTGTTTAGTCTTCCAACGGGCACGTCTATTTTGGAACCAAATTGCTACTTGTCTTGGTTGCAGCCCTAATTCTTGTGCAATTTTCACTTTCCTTTCAGGGTCAAGCTTGTTATCAACTTCAAATATTTTCTCCAGTGCTTGAACTTGATCCACTTTTAGCCTCCTTTTTTTCCCTGTTACACATCCACTCTCTTCTATTCCATCTTCATCTTCCAATCCGTCCAACATTGCCTGAAAATCTGTGCTATACGACAAATTTTCTCTATTTTTCTCTGCAATATAACACAAAAAAGAAAGAAAATATAAAAATGTGAAAGTTCATCATAGTCGTCTCTGCCCTCCTACCCTCAATACCACCGGCATGTAAAAAGAGTTAAGTCAAAACGATTTAACTTATATACATCCAATTTTTATATTACCAGTGTATTTTAACATATTGTAACTAGTAAGTAACATGTCTTATTTTTCACGTTTTTATCTCAATTTTCTACGTATGGTTTATCACCTAGTTTTTGAGAGATTTTGCAGGCAGTAGGGAAAGAAAATTTTGGTAGAGGAATTACCTTCTGGTGGATAAAGCAATTTGCCAGAAGAATCTGAGAAACTGAATCGCTTCATAATATTAGATAGTACTTGTAAAAGCAGAATTGGTCTCTAGAAGGATCGAAAGTATGCAAAAAGAAACCAATTAACAGAATTTTGAATAATAGTAAAACACAGTTTTCTTTCTCAGTGTTATGGCCTGTAGTAGAAATGTTAGAGTAGCAGAAATAATTTGAGCTAAAACAAGAGAAAGATGTGGATATGGAAAAAAGAAAGAAAAGGGCAAACTCAAAACCAACAGAGGAACAAATAAAAGGCAACAAATTAAAGGGACTTGCTTTTCATCATTAACCAATCAACCCAATAAAATAGGAAGAAAAGAAGGAGAAGGAGAGAAAGAGACTCTGAGTAAGAAAAAGATAAAGAGTTTATATGGTTTTTTTCATAAGGTATGGACCAACAGTAATTTGATAAGTATATGCTTCCCAGCTATATATCTTCTTTTAATGATGTGAAATGACTTTATATTTTGAAATTAACTTTTTTCCTTATTTTTTTTATTGGGAGTTTTGAATCCAATTGTCCAGTTGGCTCCACAAAGTCCAACTGTATAGTAATTTTAGATCTTGTCCTCAACAAATTATCATCCAATGCAAGCTACTCCAAGTACAAGACAATCAACAAATTATTTTGTAACATACATAATTTTGCTAGTTTAATATTTCCATTTAGAATCTTGGTGCATGTACGAAAATTTAAATTGATTTTAGAATTTCTCAAGTGGAAGAATTCTTCCTGGAATTGGTAGTAAGTTTTTGTTTCATAATTTGAAGGTCCATTCTATTAACAGTCTTAAACTGGTGAACTTCAGTTGGACATTAGAGAAAATTGGGCACAAGTAGTAAATGCATGTGGAAAAGCAACCACAAAAATGAAATCCAAAAAGAATAAAAGAAAGATGTTATTAGAGGCAGTGCACAAAAGTTCGGTGCTCTGCAATTTTTTGACTGTAACCACTCATCATCCAACTTAGATAAGCATAATAATTCAACTATGGATTAAACTTACATACACAAAGAGTTAAAGTACTTTTAATTTGTTGTAGCATGCAGGATAAAAAAAATTCTTTTGTATCCCCTTGATACGAAAGAAAAATTCTAGTATAATGGTAAAAGGGGTTCAAAAGTTATTTCAGTCACATGTTTAAATTTCAATTGTGATATTCCAATTCTTTCTTGGATCCCTGGTATAAAATTATGGCTGCACCACGCGTGTAATCTGGCTTACGTTTCATGTTACTTATAATCACATTCAGAGGCGTACACAGTATTTTTTGTAAGGGCGTCTTCAATCTTTACCCCATTTTTGGTCCCCAAAATGGGAATTTCCCCATTTTGGGGACAACTTACTCCAACCATTTCCCCATTTTTTTCCCCAAACTTTTTTATATTCTTCTCTCTCTTCTATATTATATTATTATCTTTCATTTCAATTTTATTTTTTAATTTCCATTAAACAAATTCCATCTTTTATTTTTATTATTTGTAATTTCCATTAAAACAACTCCATAAAATTTTAAATAATAAGTAATTATTATAGATTAACTAATAATTCAAATAAAAGTGAAATCATTGCGATACAAGATTAATTAAATACATATTACATAACGATCAAATTCATTTAATGTATTTTCAATCTTCACTTTTCAATTTTAGCAACATCTAATATTTTATATTTGCACCATTCTTTTTTCGAGATAATTATATATTTTTTCTACAATTATAACTTAGAATAAAATTAACTTACAATTTTACATAAAAATAATAAATGCACGAAAATTAATTTATCAAAATGATACACCAAAATTAAGATGTAAAATTAATATTATAAAGACATTACATAAACATAATTAGGTATATATAAAGAGATAAATTACTAGATTAAAATAATAATAATAAAAAAGTGATGAATAGTAATGGGGGACATGAATAGTGTACCCCCATATTTGAGGGAACACTATTCATCCCCCATTTTAGGGACAAAATGGGGGAGGGTTGGAGCTAAATTACCCTAAAAATTACCCCCATTATGAAAAATGGGGGTAAGGTTGGAGATGGCCTAAGTGGTAGAGTATTAATTATCACATTTAAGTATGAGGAATAGCCTTGATCCATTAATTTTGTTGAGTAAGCTAGAAGAGATTAAGAGTTCAATTCTGCATAACCATAATTTTTAGAAATAGAGGACTTCTCTAATATTTGCCAAAAATATTCAAGTTGAGGTTCAAACCTCCGACCACTAGAAGCAAAAACAAGCACTTAACTAGCTTGCTAAGCAATAGACTTTGACAAGTGGTGTTATTTCTTTTCTATTTATACGTTTCTGCATAGTATTAATACATAAGTTCAGTAAAATTCTCTAACGAAGCGGTGTCGCGTCACACCATTTTGTCTAACATGTATGTGCCCTTGATCACTTTTGTTATAGACTATTACATTTAATAAAGAAATTTTAAATATATAAAAGCTAAATGCAAGAATGATACACCTCTATGTTACTGAATCACCTCTATGTCACATATGACATATAAAATGGAAATATATGAGTATTATATTTACATTATATAGACAGCCAGAGAGGAGGCAGGGCTGGGGGTGGATGGCAGAAAACAAGCAAAGATACAGGCTGTAGGGATGGCAAAGGCAGGGAAAGAAACAGTGGGTGGCTAGCCATATATGTGAGAGCAGAAATGGCAACGTCGCCAACCTCACTGCCAAAATTACTTCTGATGCTCGCAACCAACCTCTCACGTGGTGTGTTACCTTTCTCTCTATACTTTGTTTCCAACTTAGGAGACCTGCTATTCATCACATGCATTGCCTCTTAATTATATTCCCACTCTTTTTTCTGTACTATTTTTCATCAATTTTCCATTATTGGAATTCACATTTTCATGGGCATTTTTGTTGTATACCAATTTATAGTAAATGATTAGTAGTATTTGTTCGTCTAACTTTTGTTATATATTTCGTCCTGTTGTGTCATCATCGCTACAAAAAGAAAATGACCAGGTTCTATGACTTATTTTCTAGTTGTTAATCGGTTTATTTCGATCAATATTTTCTGGAGTAACTTTCTTATATGTTTATTCTGGGGGGGGAAGGTGGAGGGAGGAGTTCTTTTTGTTATAGAAAAAATGTAAGAGCTTAATGAGCTAACTACCTATACGACAATGTAATTTTTTTTATACTATTAAATCACTTGAAAGGAGATTTTAAGTAACTATAAATATATAACAAGTGAAGTTATATATAGTAAGCTGAAAAATAACGCAAGTAATATTTTAGGGTAGATTAAATTACATTGTTAACGTAAAAATTCATCACACTGCTAGTAGGATATATATATATATAAGTTAACTCGAGGTCAATAGTAAGAAAATTATAATGCAGGTCGAATAATTAAGATAGTTTGAAAACCTTGGGTTTTGGCATGGTCGTAAAGTGCAGAAGCTAATGGCGACAGAGGAGGCACCTAACAATTGACCAGTAGCAGCCTGCTCAAAAGACTCCATTTCTTTATTTGGAATGACTTCTAGTGGTAGGGCTTTCCCTTTATTCAACTACCCTACGTAATTAGACGTGGCTGTATATCTTGACTTTCTTATCGTTTCCATTCATGCACGCTCAACTGCAGATCGTCTGCAGTACTTGACTAATTTTATCTCTTCCTTTTCTTTTCCAACTTCTTATTTTCTCTCACAACTGCTAGACGAATGTGAAAATGGTACAAGGACCTTGTCCAGATTCTGCAATATACAATACGTTATCATACAGTTATTTAATTTACTGCGAATACATATTGTGTATTCATGTCATGAGCCAGTTAAAAGACATATTATAAAATAGGCTATATGTATTCTCCTAACAATATGTTCAAAGGGTAATGCACTTAGCACATGTATAAAAATTCCACGAAAATGTAAGTTGAAAGGGACGGATTTTGAGACATTATTCGTGGAGCAGTGTTGCTTTAATTTGAACACAAATTCTGGCTGTTTAGTTACAACCCTTGGCATCATTTGTACGTAATACTATTTATATCAAGGAGCTTGAATGTGTCAGTAACATATTTCAACGAACAAATAGTTCAAACTTATCAAGCAAATTGAGAGAGAAAATTTTGGCTCTTTAAAAAGTCTGTGCATTGTTACGAGAATGACTTTTTCCCTCTTTTAAATCAATTTTAGCAATATGATCAAATAGAAGACATTGTTGCGGAATATCGTGGGTTAACTAGCACACAATCACACACAAAGCAAATAGAGAAAAAAAATCAACACAAGGATTTAATGAGGGTCGGCTACGCCTAATCCTCGGGGCCAAAGCAGAGAGAGTTTTCTACTATGAATGAGAAGAAAAGCACACTACAATCTCTAGAATCCCAACTACAACCCCTATATATAGATCTCAAAAGGTCCCAAATATATAAGAGAAAGGTTTCCCGATTTGACAAGGACAATAGCTTTTCAATTCCCAAATCTACTAGGACAATGAGTTTTCCTAAACCTATAGGGATTATGGGTTTCCTAAAAATACAAGAAAATAATTCAAGCCACAAATAACAAATCTTCCCCTTGGCGTGAATTCTCTTCATCAACAGGAACAATATCTCTCTACCTTGCCCTCAGCCCTCGCAAGGGCTCTACCCATTGCCGCACACATCAACCAAGTCTAGGCAACGCCTAAACTTGTTAAGAGACTCAATCTCTTTAGCCATAGCACTAATCCGTCGATTTGGTTATGTACTCTAAATAGCTTCTGAGTAGCTATAACACTCAAATGCATCAACGGTCTCTGCAACTGACAAAGCAAATCCCGCTGGATTCTTATATCCAAGAAGATTCCCATCAACTACGTTTGCAAACTTTTGCGGTTGGTTGATCACTCTCTTCTCTCTGTCTGTTGCAATGCTATATGGTTGTTGTTGCGCAGAAGATCAATATTTTGCACCTCCTCCACTTCCTCTACTTTAGAACTAGTGGAGATCTAATTTCTAGCTCTATTGCCTTCTCTCTCTGACTGTCCAGTGAGGTAGATAACTGATAATTAGCCTTGGAGTCTTTTGATCTGTGCACCATAACCTATAACATTTCACTCCAGTTGCATACCCTAAAATATGCACTTCTTTGCCCTCGGCTCAAGTTTTCCATCCCTCATATGAGCATAAGCAGGACAACCAAATATCCTAAAATTTGAATAATCAGCAGGCGAACCGGACCATACCTCAAAAGGAGTTTTGAACTCAATAGTTGTGGATGGAGATCTGTTGACCAAATAACAAGCTGTATTGATTGATTCAGCCCAAAAATCTTTGCTAACACATGAGTGTGAAAGCATGCTTCGTGCCTTATCACAAAGCGCTCTATTCATACATTCTGCAATACCATTTTGTTGTGGTGTTCCGACAC